AGTGTCACATCAGAATGAGCTTATATCTTAAAAAATGTCAATTATTAAGAACTAACATTGTTATCTTGTTAAATAATGGAATTTTTAATGATATAAGCTCATCCCGACATTACACTCCTCAAGACCTTTCATTTGAGTACCCACATCAATTTTCCATATATTTTATATATTTATATATATTATATAAATGTATATATATGAAAAATATATGAAAATGCATGTAGGTACTCAAATGAGAGCTCTTGATGAGTGTAACATCGAGATGAGCTTATATCTTTAAAAATGTCAATAGTTAAGAAAGTACAGTGTAATTTAACAAAATTCATAATTTAATACTCAAAATTTTATTTATTTATTCTTCACAAGTCACAGCACTCACATAGTGACTGCAAGGTTGCTAGTTATTATTATTTTATATCATAAAAATTATTTCTGGTCTTTTTACGTACTTCATTTCCTAAATCCCGTAACCGCGCTTCCTCTTTCACCCACACAATAATTAATTAAATATATTATTATCATCATCATTATTTTCCCTAGCATTAAACTCAACATTTATTCAAAGCTAATACAGTTTTCTCTAGTACTTTGCTCTTATTTTGTCCAACATTATACGTCGTTATGTGCTTGTTAGCGGAATAAAAAACTTTAAAAAGGTTTGTTAGTTTACCGAGCTTTTCATTTTTATTATTATTACTTATGGCATTTTTTTTTTGTAAACACTACACTTAAATTCACTAATGACAAAATAACATACATTATACATTGTACCGAAAATAATGGAGTAATTAAGACAAAAAGTTTCAAATGAAATTTTAATCCCGCCTTCGTTGAATAAAATGTTTGCATTTCTTTCGTATACTGCACTTCAATAAAATATTATAAAGAGTATGCTTTAATTACTGTATTATCCTTTAACATATTTTATTATAAAAATGAATGAAAAATGCTTAAATTATTTTTGTGCGAGCAACCAGCCGTATACAAAGGACATAATATTTTTATATTTTTTTTAGAATTCCTTCAATTAAATTAACTCGACGTAAACAAGAATATTCCATGCATCGGTGGCTGAGTTCAACGAACAGTGTCGATCAACATTTTACATCCTTGTGGCTTACTGATATTACTATCACTAATTTTTGTTTGTTTTATTGAATTAAACAGAATGATAAGTTTTTTCCGGTGTTATAACATCATTTTTGTATATTAATTATTATTATTATTATTATTAAAGAGCAAAATAAATAAATTTTATCCGAAAAAATATTAAAATAAATTATTACTAGCAACCTTGCA